GTGACTTTCTGAATATTGGCTGGTTTCACAGGTCTGTCAGTACCATGAAGGCAGTACCCTTACTAGCTAACTTTACTGGAGCATTTGATGTGAGTGCGGTGTACATTGCCTACTCTGTGAAAATTCCTTATAAATCAGTAACTTCCTTTTCCTCATGGCTGCTGTCTTATGTGAGTATAGCAACATGAACAAAGTTCTCAGAGCCTGGTCACTATTAAGAATCTGAACATGTGGAACCCAGAGAACACACCCTGGATTTGTGGCCACCCCCCTCTCCACCTCCATCCAGATGCGTCCACATGGCCTAGAAAACAGCCATCTGCCATCACTTAGAAAAATCTCACTACTTAGAAAAATTTAGTACTTGGAGGGGCGCCTGGGTGGCTTAGTCGGTTAAGCGTCCGACTTTCCGACTTTCGCTTAGGTCATGATCTCGCGGTTTGTGGGTTCAAGCCCCGCGTCGGGCTCTGTGCTGACTGCCAGCTCGGAGCCTGGAGCCTGTTTCAGTCTGTGACTCCCTCTCTCTCTGTCCCTCCCCTGCTCACGCTGTCTCTCTCTCCTAGAAATAAATAAAACATTAAAAAAAAAATTTAGTACTTGGAAAATAGTGGCATTTTCAAACCAAATGGATATAAAAGTTCTCCTCCAAACCTCATAACTGCACAGGGCCATGCTCTCAGGTAGTATTTGGTGGACAATGTCATGGCATAAGGCTATGGCCTGCTATGTTCTCAGCGGGATTTGGGCATAAGGCTATGGCCTGATATGTTATCAGCGGGGTTTGATTTGATTGAACAATTATCCTGCACTGTTACCTCCTAGAAGGGTCATTATCTCTCCCCAACCCCATCACTGTTAAGGAGACAGAAAAACTTAGAATCCAGGCATATATGACATAAGGAAACATGCTTGTAGTAAATATGGCCCAATGAAGTCTTCCTGTGCAGTAGCCATGATCAATCCTTATGCACCAGGTGAAATGTTTTTCTGGACTTTTCTGTTCCCTTTTCTACTTCTTCCCCCAAGTTGTTAACACTGTCCAGTGTCTCAGGCCTCTGCTATGATGTACCACGCATGGGAAACACTCAAGCTTTTAGTTCAGTATCTTCTTTCCTTTTCTCTTTTAAATGAAGGGTAGGGAGGTATAGTGGGAAAGTGTAAAGCACTTAGAATTATATTGGTCTGAGACCCAATTCCTCCACTCATTGGTGAACTCTCAGTTCTTATTTGCTTTATGAAGATAATACTTATTACCTACCTCTACTTATCACCCAGAATCCCTTACAGGCAAGGGCCATGCATTATTTATTCTTCTTTTTATCTTGCACTATGCAGTACATAGCATGCAGTAGACACTTGACAAGTGTCTGAACAAAATTGAACTGACTTTATACATAATTTTACATGTATCATGACATGTGGAGTGTTTGAGCTAAAAGGAACTCAGAGACCTCTTCAGTTCACACGCAGCAAATAGGCACTTCTCACTTCTGTGCCAAATGGTCCAAAACCGTCACCATTTTCTTTCCAGCTGAGTGTCTTTTTTTTTTTTTTTACCTGAGCTTCACAATCTTCAAAGTTTTCTGGAAAGCCACTACCATTTGACTGAAATTATCACTGGAGGGAAAAAAAGTTTGATACAATTCTGGATTGAGTTAAACTTCTACTTTATAAATGAAGAAACCTAGACCTAGGGTGATGACATAAGCTGGCAAAGGTCACAGAACTAATTGCAGAGTGAGCTGGAACTAGAATATAGATCTCTAGATTCTTTATCCAGTGCTCTATCTACTACATAACATTTGTGTTCTGATTCAAGTCTCAGTGCCTTCCAGCTAGCATTGGAGGAAATTTCTAGCAAGGACAAATGAATGTGGGAGAGGGGGTATAAAGGAGGGCCTTAGAGTAATGTAGCTGTCTCCCTGTCAATTCAGAAGGTAAGTAAGTTATTCAGCAACTTTCACTGAAGGCCTCTTTCAGGCAAAGGTGCAAGGCCCCAGAGACCTAGATAAATGAAATGAGGACTCTGCCCCATGACTTATAGACCCATAAACAAGCAGTGAAAAACAAAACAGGATGATAAGTAAGCTAACAGAGATATGCCTAGAGACCTCCAAGGGACAGAAGGCATGAGCCAGCAAAGTCAAGGATGGCTTAACTGAGGAAGTAACTTCTGAGCTGATTCTTCCAAAAAGAGTTATAGTTCTCCAAAGCAAAGAAAGGAAAGGGTGTTCCATCAGAAGGAATGGTCTAGAAAGAGCTTGGCACATGTAGAGACTAGCAAAGAGTTCTTCATGGAAGGAACATCAATATGTGGTAAATGAGGAAGAAGAAGGGAGGAAATTAAGGGCACTGTCAGGCAAGGGACCTGGAGAGATAAGCAAAAGCAGCCTACTTTGAAGGAGTCTACAAAGGCTGACAAGACATATACATAAATAATTACAACATAGGATAGAATGATCTGGTACTTTTCAAACCACCAAAGGGCGTGCAGGGGAGTCAGAAAAGGGAGTCATGATTTCTCACTAGGGGTTACAGAGACTATATCACTGATTAGTCAAGCAGAGTTAAAAGTTAAAATCCTTTTCAATTTTTTGGGATTCAAGTAGAAGTTAAAGATCTGCAATATAATTACATACCTAGATGTGTCCTTTTTGACTATCTAACTTAATGATCCACATTCTAAATCCCGAAACATTGCCCAGTGGCTTCCCCACTCCCATTATATAACATGTTGCATATTTTGTTCACCATTCTATAGCCAGCACCTAGAACCATGCCTGGCACCTAAGAAGTATCAAATAAATATTTGTAGAACCAGTCTTTCAGTTGATGTGTTTTTACCATGGCAACCACATACACTAGATTTTTCAGTGTCTTTAAAATACCCTGTCCTTGGAGCACCTGACTGGCTCACTCCAAAAAGCATGTGACTCTTGATTTCAGGGTTGTGAGTTCGAGCCCCATGTTGGGTGTAGAGATTACTTAAAAAATAAAATCTTAAAAAACAATCCTGTCCTTTAGTTGCCATTAGTACAACTGTATTTGTCATGCATTTAGAATTCTGTCTTAGAAAATACGGTAACAAAACTCAGATACAACATAGGAAAGCTTCATTCTTGTTGTCAAAAACACCCAATGCCAGCCAGAGTATTTGGGAGAGAGGTGGGAAGAGAATGTGGTTTTGTGTAGAGCACATCATTTCTGGGCTGGAGGCCTCAGCCACTCCCTTCTGCGTGGTTGGCTAGTAGTCTCAGACCAAGGCTGCCCCTCCATCTTGTTCTTTGCCCATTGAACACATAGGTTTGGGAGTCTTGGATGAAAGTAGAAAGCATTAGCGTCTTGGAAAGGATGTAGCTTGGGTGCTTGTGGCCTTGTTTGGGTCTTTCTAAACAAGTTTCTGGCTACTCTACTGAGAAAGGAAACCTTCCACATCTGCAGAGATGAAAGAGTGGGTTGTTACAAGCTTAGCATTTTCCCAACACTCCTTGAAATATAACATTTAATATGTTTATCACTGTCAAATGGATTATCAGTGAAAACCGTTATCAACCCTGTAATGTCCTTTTCTTTTCTCCTTCTTCTCTCCTTCCTCTCTCCCTCTCCCATTTCTTCTTCTCCTTATTCTTCTCCTCTTTCTCCTCCTCCTTCTTCTTGACAGTGCTTTACCAGCCAAACTTTGGAAATGAAAAATCAGTAACAGAAAAATAAATTTGTAAAATAAACTGGATATTCTTATCATAAGAAATGTCCAAAAATCCACTGCAAAAAGAAATGTGTGTATACATGTAAATAGATAGGTACTTATACATACACACGCTGTGTTGTAAATGGTTATTAAGGTTTCCAGGCAAGCCCACAAAAGTCTATTCAATATATAATTGTAGGCAAACTACTGTGTATGTGCAAGTTTTTTTAAATTACTCAACAATGCCAATAAATACAATAGGAAAACCACTAAAATTTTAAATTATTTTTAAGAAATAGATCTTGACTACTGGTCCTTGGGATGACAAGATGGACAGACAACTCTGTCTTAATAAGTAACATTAACTACATGCTTACAATAAGCCTGTGTGGTAAGACCTTTACAAGCATTAGCATTACAAGTATTTGATCTCATAACAACCTTATAAAATAGGTATCATTATTTTCCACACTTAACAAGGAAAATGAGTCACTGGGAAGTTAAATAACTTCCCAAGGTCACACAGGGAGTTGTAAGGGAGGAATTTGAACTGAGGCAGCTTGGTTCCAAAGCTCTCAATCTGAATGACAACCCTAGATTAAGAACCGCTGGAGAGTCCTCTGGAAGAGGCAGGTCCAGTTAATAGTGGGGGGTACACAGGAAGTGTCTAAAGCTGACAGCAAGTGACTGACTAGGGACAAAGCTGGGTAGTCAGGCTTAGGTACTGGGTATATGACATTTTGGTAAGGTCATTTTGATACTAGTGCTATTTTGACATTCACAATTCATTCCTATGAATAATAAAGCATTAAACTTTTAAAAAATCAAGTACTCTGTGCAGTAGAAACGCATCCTAATGTCAAGATGAACTCAGAGTCTCATAAGTGATTCATGGCCAGGGCTGGAGTCAGAGATGTGGTGGGAGATCATGAAGCCTAAAACTGTGGTAGGGTTGTCACATACATTTGTTCATTTTCTTTTTAAGTGACTGGCTTGATATTTAGGATTACAGAATGTCTATGGTGTCAAAGTGGTCTCAAAAAAAAAAAAAAAAAGGCTCTACTTCAAAAAAGGACTTGCAGGAGGAAGAGGTTAAGCAGTGAGTGCTAACCACAGCCTGACCTGGGCAGAAGCAGAAGGAAGCCTCAGGCCAAGTAATGGAAGGAGAGTTGCTTTCTGTTCTGGTTGTCAGAAAGGGCAAAGAATCAAAACATCACTTTTGCAATGGATTTACAAAATTTCAGGAAGTGTGACAAGACACATTTTTTTTTTTAAGAGTTCAGCTTTTTACTGAGCAGGTTACAGAAGAGGTTTAGTCAAAAAAACCAAAGCCCATGTCATCATCAGGCTCCTCTGATTCTTCTTTTTTTGCTTCCACCTCCTTCTGCCCAGCTGGGGCAGCAGTGGTGGAGGGGGTGGGACATTCCAGCCACACTGCGCCAGCTGCTGGGACAGGTCCACCACCCCCTACATTGCAGATGGGGCTCCTGATGTTGACATTGGCCAGGGACTTTGCAAACAAGCCTGCCCAGAAAGGTTCAACGTTTACACCTGCTGCTTCAATGAGGGCATTGTTCTTATCCTGTGTGACTGTCACCTCATCATGGTGCAGGTTGAGGGCTGAGTAGATGCAGGCGAGCTCTGAGGAGGCAGCCATGGGCAGGTGAGGGCTGAGTGGGCACTGCTGGGCATAGTGCTAGTCACCGGATGAAGTGAGGGCCTCACACCAATGCAGCCTTAGCTTTCTCAAAAAGACCAAGCACATTAGTAGCAGCTGAGGAAAGGGAAAACACATTTGTTAAACATCTTTGTGCAGTGTCTTTTTGCTGTGAACGATTTCCCATCTGAAAATTGGGATTATTTGACAAAGTGGCATCACCTCTGGTATTATCCATGGATCAAGATGAAGTATTGTGAGAAAACTAAGGTACAGGGCCAGGTTGAAATCTAGGACCTACCACTTGCCTATCGAGTGTCTTCAGGTAAATCTCAGCCTCTCTGAGCCTCAGTTCTTTCATTGATTAAAAGAGAGTGATAACCTTACTTAAGTCTCGAAGTTGTTGTGGGTCTTAAATTGTGCCTCAGCTTGTCAGCATTCAGTAAATATTTATCAAATGGCTAGAGTGGTTAGTAGCATTACAGCTGAGTATTTAATTTTACTTTTCTCTATTTCTTAAATTTTCTACCATAAACATATATTGCTTTTGTAATTAGAAACAAAAACATAAAACTTATTTATTTTTTTATTTATTTGTTTATTTATTTGAGAGAGAGAGAGAGAGAGAGAATTCCCAAGCAGGCTCTGTGTAGAGAGCGATGCAGGGCTTGAACTCACAACCCTGGGATCATGACCTGAGTCAAAACCAAGAGTCGGTCGTTCAACTGACTGAGCCACCCAGGTGCCCCCAAATTTATTCTTTTTAAATGACAGATGTAATTTCTCACAATTTCACGTTTGCTCACCCACCTTTGTCTCCTTCATATCCCTTCCTGCTATACATAAAAATGGGTCCTCTCTACACAGCAAGATGTTGTGGGATGTCAGTTATTCTCTACACTCCATCATGGCCTCAAGGGGTCAGCTCAGTGTACCCAGACCTACAGTACTTAGATGAGGCTGAGATCAGTGGTAGCTCAGTGCCATGGTTGCTCTATTCTCTCCATGACACATTGATCCCCGTCCTGCCATTCCCTCAGTCTCTCAGTCTGCTGGATGCTCCTTTTTTTTTTTCTTTAATTCTACTGGTTTCATTTTTTCAGTACCAAGGCCTAGAGACAATGACATAGGCTGTAGGAGTCAAGCTTGCATTTGGTCTTTGGAAACCAGAGAGAGTGTGGGTGACTGTATTAAATAAAGCAAAGTTCTGGCAGAAAACCAGCTTCTAATCTTGAAGTATCCCCTGGTTCTTTTCTTTATAATTTTAGGTTTGTGGGTCCCAGATCTCCATATTTGCCTTCTGGAACTGCCTTAACAATAAGAAAAGATGAATGTAGGGATTCAAGGCTGAATTACACCAGCTCCTGAAACATTCTAGCATCAGGAAGCATAACCAGGGGGCTCTGTCACATTTGAAGCTACCTGGTCTGCCCAGCTCTTGTGCAGTGGGCTTATTCTCACACAAGGAGGTAGAGGAAGAGCCTAAGAGCCAAGATCTTTCTAAGTGTGTGGCCTTCTGGGAGTACAAGATATGGTTCATCAGCTTCTTCTCAAACTGATCCCTGCTTGCTTGTTGCTATTTCAGCAAACATCACTGCCATCCACACAGCTACCTAGGTTAAAAATCTAGAAGTTGTTCTTCACCATCCCCCCTCCCGCCCCCACCATTCACACCCCACATCCAATTATACATGCAGCCCTACTGACTCTACTGGTTTAAGTGGCCCTTGAAGTCATTTGCTTCTCTCCATTTCTGCTGCTACCAACTAGTCAAGACAACCATGCCCCTCCTGCCTCTGTAACTGGTATCCCCCAAATAGGATAGTTGTTTGAATGCCTGATAGCCCCAGATGACACCTAGAGAGGATAATGTACATGTAAGGATCACACAGGCAGTCAGTGACAGCAGATCCAGAGGAGAATTCAGACTTTCTGGTCCCAAGTTCAACACTGCTGCTGGAAACTGTTTGTTCACTATACAGTTGACCTTTGAACAATGAAAGGGTTAGGGCCAACCTCCCATACAATTGAAAGTCTGCATATAACTTTTGACTTAAAAATTAACTACTAGTAGCCTAGAAGCCTTGTTGATAGGATTAACAATCATTTTGTATGTTATAGTATTATAACTGTATTCTTACAATAAAGTGAACTAGAGAAACAAAAATGTTATTAAAATCACAAGGAAGAGAAAATACATGTATGGTACTATAATAATCTATTAATTGAAAAAAAACTGCATTTAAGTGAGCCCACACAGCTCAATCTGTGTTGTTCAAGGGCTAATTGTATTGTTTTGTTATTAGATTTATTTATTTATTCTGAGAGAGAGAGAGAGAAAGAGAGAGAATACCAAGCTGGCTCTGTGCTTGTCAGGGCACAGACGGATGTGGGCCTTGAACCCACGAATTGAGATCATGACATGAGCTGAAATCAAGAGCCAGATGCTTTACCAACTAAGCCACTCAGACACCCCAAGGGTCAACTGTATTGTTTTGAGAACTTGATTGGTGCCAGACAGTTGAAATCATTGTCTCCCTCTAGGGTTTCTCCAGTGTCACCTCCAGAGTCACCTCTGGGGGTGGCTCCCCATGATGGATTATGGTTTTCAGCCTATTTATTTATTTATGTCCACATCACTCCTGCATATTCTCAACTGCAGATAGAATAGGGCATCTCTTAGAGCCCTGCCATCCCTCTCGTTCCAGCATTCTACAAGTTGGCTTCTGCATGGTCTACTCAAGTAGCTTGTGAGCTAGTTAGGCCAAGAGAAAATACACACATTGAAGCACTTCTTCCAAGGAAAAGATTCTATGTGAGTACAACATTAAAACAAAAAGAAGTGGAAGGGTGTCAGGGTGGCTCAGTCAGTTAAGCCTCCAACTTTGGCTCAGGTCATGATCTCACTGTTCATGAGATGAGCCACACATTGGGCTCTGTGATAACAGCTCAGGAACCTGCTTCAGATTCTGTGCCTCCCTCTCTCTCTGCCCTTTCTCTGCTCACATGCTCATGCTCTCTCTCTCTCTCAAAAATAAATAAATAAATAAATAAATAAACAAACATTAAAAAAAAAAAAACAACCCAGACAAGTAAGTGGAAATGCTTCCCTCTAGCATTTCTATATAGGAAAGGGGAACAGGAAAGTCGATCTGGTTCAGCTTTCATTCCTAGCACACTCCATAATTTCTTGGGAAGTCAATGCTCAGAGCACGATAGTTTCCCCAGTGTACCCAGGATTACAACTGATTCATTTAACACATGTCACTAAAGGTATACTATGTGCCAGACACAGTGCTAGATTCAGGGAACACAGTGCTGTATCACATAGACAAATATCCTGTTTTAGGAGACCTTATACGCTAATGGAATCTGACCTAAGCTATTACCTAGTTTCTTTTAAATATATTCTTACCTGGATATCATCTTTACAAATTTCAAATGCTTGATCATAGAATCATAAGATTCTAAGAGATAAAAATGAGATATTCATTTAGCCTAGTGCCTTTCTCCCCTTGGCCAATGTTTAAATCTCTTTTACAATATCCCTGTCAAGTGATCATGTGGTTCTACTTTGGACATTGCCAATAATGGGATTCACTACCTCCAAGGTGATCTATTCTATTCGTAAACAGTACAAGTAGTTACTTGTTCTCCCTATATCAAACCAAAATTGGTTTCCCTAAAGTTTGCAATACATTCTGGCCTTTCAGCCTGCACACTCAAGACAGTCTCTTCTGCTCTGAGTCGGCCTTAGGTATGAAAGCATGGTTACTCTGTCCCTGAGGCATTCTCTTCTCCAGACCAAACATCTCCACTTATTTCCACCATCCCCATAAATATGGTTTCAAACTTCTTCTCTACTCAGATAGCCAACAGAGCTACTTTTTCCCACTCTGTGAAGGCATGGATAGCATCTTACATAAGCAATATTATTCTCCTTGATTCTCCCATGTTAAGCTCAGAGATCATATAAGCATAGAACAAATTTCTTCCACCCCTGGAACACCCCATCTTGTCCATAATTCTGTAGATAGCTTTGAAACAAGCAGGCCAATTTTATTATTCACAAACTAGAGCTAATACTATTGATCTGTCAGGGTTGTTGTCTTAAAAGAGATAATGAATGTTAAATATTTCAACAAATATTGATGTAGTACCCATCGTGTATTGGTTACTGTCCTAGCTGAGTATAATACAGTCCTGAAGATGATAGGAAAGACCTTTACCTTTTCCTCTTACCCAGCACGTTATGGATGACGGGGTATGCTTCCAATATCAAAGAGGCTTTCAGGTTTTCCAAAAACTGTGTCTTGGTTTCATTATCATTTTATATCATAATTTGTTCAGCCTTTGGTCAAGCAGCTGATAGAAATGGAAGAGTTATTTATTGTAAAATGTGTAGTCCCTGCACATTTAAAACCACCGATCTTCCTGTTTCTCGGTTACTGTCAGATAATCCACCATTTTGGGTGGGGTGAATATGAAACCACCACGCAATATCTCACTAGGGGAAGGGAGTGACCACAGGATGTCATCATCTGTGTCAGAAGACTGGCAAATATTTAGCAAATATTCATATTTGCATGTCTAAAAAGTGCTCCACATCTACACCATACTGCTGAAATAAGAGTTAAATCTTTTTCATTAAGCTTCCCTCACTGACCCTATGTACTGACACGATTTCTTTAGTTCTATTTATGTTTTGATATATTAATCTACTAATATCTATAGTGACTAATATTTGCTATTTACAATTAGCCCAGCATCATGCTTGGCATGTACTTTATCTTGGTTAATCCTTACAGCAATCTTTTGAGGTAAGAATCTCCTCTTAATCACGTGAAAACCTGGTTCAGAGAGGGTAGGTGGCTTGCTCAGGCTAATTTAACTAAGAAGTACAAGTGCCAGGAATTGGGCCCAGTAGAGTGCTCATTTCTTTTTACTCCCTTAACCTACCGTCCCAAACACCTGAATCCCAATCCAGGATAGAGGGGGCC